CCTTGACGGTAATGAGTCTTACATTATTGCAGACTTAACAACGTATAGACTCAACTTCTACATTAATGTACATTATTACAGACTTAACAAAGTATAGACTCAGCTTCTATATTAATGTACATTATTACAGACTTAACAACGTATAGACTCAACTTCTACATTAATGTACATTATTACAGACTTAACAAAGTATAGACTCAGCTTCTATAGTAATGACTTGTTACATTATAATACACTTGTATAATGAGGCCAAGTCCTTTACGTAACCATCTTCATTATTACATTTTATCATAAAGCAGTGTCAAACAATTAAGGTGAATTCTGTCTGAAACCCAAGACACACACAAGACCCCAGAAATAACCAAGCAGACGTGAGAGCTGTAGTGAGATAAAAGACCACAATGATGCCAGCAAATTCCTGTGGAACAGTTGCCACACAGTTCCACACAATGACAGGAAGCAAAGCTGTACAATAAAGTAGACCAGGTTTACTGTCCATGTCCAAGGCTACAGGTAACATACAGAAATTAACGGGTGGATAACCTTTGAGATCCTCAAAACAGCTCGATAAATGTTTTTTTCTTCACAGAGTTCACAAACTGTAAACTCGGCAGAAAGTTCTGGATGTTCGTCCACTTTCGGACTTTTAGTCTTGTTACAGATTTTGAGTTTTGCATGCTTTGACTCTGAAAGAACAGTCCTTATTTTCATTTTAAATTTACAAATGGAATTCTCATTTGAGGATGTTGAAAATGCTAAACCACAGAATGACAGACAGACAGAGCAAAGCTCTTTTGATCCGGCAACTTCTACAGCACATTTGGTTCTACGTGTACTGGTTTATCTTTGGAGGTAACAAAGCAGGCCGCTAGAGGGATCCTGCTGTATGGGTAGCATATGGTCTCTACAACACAGCCCAGGGTTTGTGCTGTGGTTAAGAGCTTGATGTCAATCACATGTAATGGCAACAAGGGACCTGAAATCACATGAATGAATGTATTGTTGAAGATTCTTCTCAAGTTGAGCTGGTGCTGGTGACATTCTTCACACTTGCATGTGCTATGGGCTGTGGTTGGCACTCCTCCCTACAGCACAAATGCACTTTTATATGGACAGATGGAAAGATGTCAGCAACAAACCAGTGAATGCTAATGTCCAACATACCAGTGAATGCTAATGTCCAACATACCAGTGAATGCTAATGTCCAACATACCAGTGAATGCTAATGTCCAACATACCAGTGAATGCTAATGTCCAACATACCAGTGAATGCTAATGTCCAACATACCAGTGAATACTAATGTCCAACATACCAGTGAATGCTAATGTCCAACATACCAGTAAATGCTTATGTCCAACATACCAGTAAATGCTAATGTCCAACATACCAGTGAATGCTAATGTCCAACATACCAGTGAATGCTAATGTCCAACATACCAGTAAATGCTAATGTCCAACATACCAGTAAATGCTAATGTCCAACATACCAGTAAATGCTAATGTCCAACATACCAGTAAATGCTAATGTCCAACATACCAGTAAATGCTAATGTCCAACATACCAGTAAATGCTAATGTCCAACATACCAGTGAATGCTAATGTCCAACATACCAGTGAATGCTAATGTCCAACATACCAGTGAATGCTAATGTCCAACATACCAGTGAATGCTAATGTCCAACATACCAGTAAATGCTAATGTCCAACATACCAGTGAATGCTAATGTCCAACATACCAGTGAATGCTAATGTCCAACATACCAGTGAATGCTAATGTCCAACATACCAGTAAATGCTAATGTCCAACATACCAGTGAATGCTAATGTCCAACATAACAGTGAATGCTAATGTCCAACATACCAGTGAATGCTAATGTCCAACATACCAGTGAATGCTAATGTCCAAAATGCCAGTGAATGCTAATGTCCAAAATGCCAGTGAATGCTAATGCGAAACATACCAGTAAATGCTAATGTCCAACATACCAGTGAATGTCCAACATACCAGTGAATGTCCAACATACCAGTAAATGCTAATGTCCAACATACCAGTGAATGTCCAACATACCAGTAAATGCTAATGTCCAACATACCAGTGAATGTCCAACATACCAGTGAATGTCCAACATACCAGTAAATGCTAATGTCCAACATACCAGTGAATGCTAATGTCCAACATACCAGTGAATGCTAATGTCCAACATACCAGTGAATGCTAATGTCCAACATACCAGTGAATGCTAATGTTCAACATACCAGTAAATGCTAATGTCCAACATACCAGTGAATGCTAATGCCCAACAAACCAGTAAATGCTTATGCCCAACATACCAGTGAATGCTAATGTCCAACATAACAGTGAATGCTAATGTCCAACATACCAGTGAATGCTAATGTCCAACATACCAGTGAATGCTAATGTCCAACCTACCAGTGAATGCTAATGTCCAACATACCAGTGAATGCTAATGTCCAACCTACCAGTGAATGCTAATGTCCAACCTACCAGTGAATGCTAATGTCCAACCTACCAGTGAATGCTAATGTCCAACCTACCAGTGAATGCTAATGTCCAACCTACCAGTGAATGCTAATGTCCAACCTACCAGTGAATGCTAATGTCCAACCTACCAGTGAATGCTAATGTCCAACCTACCAGTGAATGCTAATGTCCAACCTACCAGTGAATGCTAATGTCCAACATACCAGTGAATGCTAATGTCCAACTTACCAGTGAATGCTAATGTCCAACATACCAGTGAATGCTAATGTCCAACCTACCAGTGAATGCTAATGTCCAACCTACCAGTGAATGCTAATGTCCAAACTACCAGTGAATGCTAATGTCCAACATACCAGTGAATGCTAATGTCCAACATACCAGTGAATGCTAATGTCCAACATACCAGTGAATGCTAATGTCCAACCTACCAGTGAATGCTAATGTCCAACAAACCAGTGAATGCTAATGTCCAACATACCAGTGAATGCTAATGTCCAACTTACCAGTGAATGCTAATGTCCAACATACCAGTGAATGCTAATGTCCAACATACCAGTGAATGCTAATGTCCAACATACCAGTGAATGCTAATGTCCAACATACCAGTGAATGCTAATGTCCAACATACCAGTGAATGCTAATGTCCAACATACCAGTGAATGCTAATGTCCAACATACCAGTAAATGCTAATGTCCAACATACCAGTGAATGCTAATGTCAACATAATAATGTCCAACATACCAGTAAATGCTAATGTCCAACATACCAGTGAATGCTAATGTCCAACATACCAGTAAATGCTAATGTCCAACATACCAGTAAATGCTAATGCCCAACATACCAGTGAATGCTAATGTCCAACATACCAGTGAATGCTAATGTCCAACATACCAGTAAATGCTAATGCCCAACATACCAGTGAATGCTAATGTCCAACATACCAGTGAATGCTAATGTCCAACATACCAGTGAATGCTAATGTCCAACATACCAGTAAATGCTAATGTCCAACATACCAGTGAATGCTAATGTCCAACATACCAGTGAATGCTAATGTCCAACATACCAGTAAATGCTAATGTCCAACATACCAGTAAATGCTAATGTCCAACATACCAGTGAATGATAATGTCCAACATACCAGTGAATGATAATGTCCAACATACCAGTGAATGCTAATGTCCAACATACCAGTGAATGCTAATGTCCAACATACCAGTGAATGCTAATGTCCAACATACCAGTGAATGTCCAACATACCAGTGAATGTCCAACATACCAGTGAATGCTAATGTCCAACATACCAGTGAATGCTAATGTCCAACATACCAGTGAATGCTAATGTCCAACATACCAGTGAATGCTAATGTCCAACATACCAGGGAATGCTAATGTCCAGTATTTTTGTAGAAAATGAATGAGTGTGTGACACATGATACACCCTTGTGACAGTTTAACAAGAATCTGTGACAATGAATAATTATGTTGGTGACAGTGTACGGATGTTTAGCTGTGGTTAACACTCTCTCTGTGTATGTGCATACGTGTGTCAACCTCTGTGTCTCTCCGGCTGTGCTAGGCTATAACTGAGTGATAGTGTAAATGACAAAGAATAAGTGCCAATATGTGTACTTGATAAGTGCCTGAGAGGTCAGCAGCTCCCTGAGTTAAATAAATCCAGGAGTGGGTTCAAGGACCCTACTGGGGGGAGGGCGGGGGACAGACAGACCCACTGCCATTCAACCAAGCATGTGGTCAAAAGTGACTAATTGAGACTGTTGAAACTGGGCCTGTCGGACCAAAAAGCGCACACGTCACATGCTAGCTGTAAACCACAGCACAATATGCCTATTGCCTTTCTAGGGTGAATGAAGAAAAAGACTGAGTTCAAGAGATCTAAAATTCAGTGCTTCGTTGTTTCTTGGCCGAGTCAAATGTCAATACAGAGACTAGCATCTGGCAGATTTTGTACCTGAAAATTTACTTACCATAAAAAAATAAAAGGCATCTCCTAAAACACAAAAACAACAAAATAGCAATATTTCAATACAATTTTTACAGATGAACACAACAATAATGTCTAAATATCACAGTCAAGAAAAATATATTCCACGTGCAACAAAAGGCTGTACCCAGTATTCCATCCATTTGGAGAAAATAACCATCAGAAGAATAAGCCAAGCCAAAATAAAGTGATGCCCAATCTGGACAAAACATTGAATTGATAAATTTGGATCTTCTGTGACTATACAAAGAATAAATGACTGGATGATAAACTGTCCAGATGTTGCATGCAACTGCATGCCTCGCCAGTGCCATCAGACGACGGCTTGTGTTTAGATTCACTTCTATATTAATTTATTTAGGAGCAACAAGGCTGAAAATACCTGGCCAATGTTTGTTCAGAATTGCAGTGACTGTTTTAGCATCTATTCTGTCATGGGCATTTCAGTTTTTTTGCTAGAGGACAAAACTAACTGCTGAATCATTCACTCAGGGTGGAGCAGAATGTGGAGCTGATGACCTCTCCTGTAGGGATACTTTTCTGTGCGGGGGAGGCAGTTTGTCCACAACCCCTCCACTACTCGTGCCTGCTATCCTCTGATTGGCTGAGCTTGGATGAAGCCTTTCGGGCGAGGATGTTCGTCTTTTGATAATGGGAGATTCTGGCTCACAGCTTTTGGGTCGACCCAGAGCGATTCTTGCGTTTGGTGGGGGAAAGGAGGATGTGGTGGAGTGGGCGAGGGATTTAACCGGAGAAGGGGTTGCCAAGGATTTCTTGCTGGTGGCAGCAGAAGCATGCTGCTGGCAGGTTGAGTGGCTGTTGAGGTGGGAAGGTATTGTCTGCTGGGGCATGTTGGAGCTGCCAACCTGGTGTCCCTGAGGCAGTGTCAACGGAGAAGGACTTCTGGCCGGAGCTGATGTCATTGCAGAAGGAGAGGGCGTTCGAGCCAGAGGTGACAGTGGGAAGTTATGGACTGACTTCCGCCGGTGTGGAGACTTGAGACTGGCGGTCTTCTTATGTTTAACTACCTGCAAAGAACTGGGTCGACCCATGTGGGCAGTGGCGACTGTTACCTGTGTGGCAGGTGAGTTGGGTGCACTTGAACTTGGTGAGCTAGAAGTTGATGAACCTGCTTGGGATGAATCCGGTGACCAGGGCAGAGACATCGGTGATGAGTGACTTAGTTTACCATGAAGAGAAATGGCTTCACCTGAGGAAATGGACCTGCCTAAAGGTGTGAACTGCTGCCTTCCAGGTGGCAGGTGTGGACTATGCTGGAATAAAGGTTCTGTCTTTTTAGCGCTCAAACGACGGAGCAGATTTCTCCCTTTCTTCTTCTCCTGAGCCTTATCCTTCTGCTGACGTTTCTTAACGCTGCGCCGAGCCATCTTTCCTGGGTTACCTTTCCGTCTGGAACCTTCTTTGATGGAAGTTTTGTCAATGGGCACAGCTCGGATGTTGACGATGCTCCCAGAGCTGAGCAGATGAACAACCTGAGTGTGAAGGAGGCTCTGGACACTTTCGTCGTTAATGTGAGTGATGAGATCTCCGGTCCGCAGCCCAGCCTCAAAACTGGGACTGTTGGCTTCCACCTCCTGACAAAAACATCAACAAAAGATAATTGTAGATAATATTATCACTCACTTGTTATAAATATAATATAAACATATATCGAGGATAACTTAATGTTTGAAAATATACTATACAACTGGACAACCTGAGGGTTTAGAAAATAAATTTATTTAATTGTTTGGAAAAAAATACAAATTTCAGAAACATCAAAGGATCCTTTTCCATAGCATATGAGAAAATACCTGCTAAGATTATAACCAGCAGATGAAAGTACTTATTAGCATGCCCTGTTCTGCTCGGTTATCAGGACAGTTACTTGTGAAGTAATGACCTATTATAAGAATTTCCAGGTCGTGGGTTCGCTCCCTGGAGGAGAATGACTTTTTTTTAAAAAATGACCTTGACTCCCAGGTCGAGCTAGCCTTGAGTGTGTATCGGGTGCAGTTCCCGGAAGTTAAGGGGGTCGGCCTGATGCTGACCACATCACTAATCTGGTCTATAAAAATATAGGTCTAGCCCTATATGCCCTACACACCTGAAGGCGTGGATAGGGGAACTTTACTTTACTATAAGACTCCCCCCCCACCCCCTTTTTTTTACCCCCCTGTGGATTTCTAGGGTTAAGTTTGGGGAGACATGCACCCTCTCCCACCAACAAACATATCACAAATGGTGACTAATTAGGTTTCAGGTGTTTTGCTGAAATTGGATGTGCTGGGCTGAAAGATGCAGATATCGCAGCCTAGCTGTAAACTACAACACTACAGGCCAACAGCCCTTTCAAGGACAAATGTAGACGGAGAAGAAATGACATATTATTTGACATTTTTAAAATCTTTAACACCTTAATACTAATTAGTGGAAATAACACCTGTGTGGGACAACAAGAGTTAATGCCCTCACTTCCTAAAAAATTCATAGGATAACATGTACTAAATAACAAATTACATTAGGTGATCAATCTTATCTATGCCGACTTGTCAGCTTCCTGATTACTTTCACAAAAATAACACCAACAGTCTTCTTCTTATTTTTTTTAAATAGTCCATGCCATATGGCATTGGCAAGTCGTGTCTATTAACGGCCTTCTGTACCCAGTTTTCTGTCATTTCTAACACAGATGTTCTCCCATGCCACACTGTCACTGTCCAGCATCTTCTCTCTTGGTTTCCCTCAGCCCCCTTTCCCCTCCAACCTTCCCACTGTCAAGATGTACTCTAGCTGTCTCCTTCTCTTAATGTGATTAAAGAATGCAGATTGTCTCCTTCTAAGGTGGTCATTCAGGTCTTGTCATGAAGTAATTTCTTTCAAGACATTCTTCATTACCCTTTTGAACCCAGGGTCCGCTGGGAAGGCAACATCCAACAGTCCTTGACTGACAGAGAGGACTGGAATGGAACAAAGCCAGAAAGAAAACTGCTGATAAAGAAATCTGGTGATCTCTCTGGCAAACCTCTAGCTCTTAAAGTCAAAGAGAAGTGACCAAGTAAGTAAGTAGTGTGAAAAATCTTTACCGCTTCTACATATTGTTTTACTATTCGGCTCACTGACTGTTCATTTAAAGATCCTCTTTACTACACATGAGACATGACCATAAGTGCCCCAATCTCCTCCTGAGTGAATGTATCCAAGTGTTTTTAGGCTAACAGCCCATTATGTTCTGGGCCCACTATTAGGATTAAGAAAAGTCTTACACACCACATTATTTCACAGATTGTCAACCAAATGCACAAAAGTATGCCAGGTAAACAAACACTCAAGCACAGACAAGCAACACTACTTACAGTAACAATATGCTGTAATGTGTACAGACATGCAACACTACTTACAGTAACAATATGCTGTAATGTGTACACATCTGACTCTCCAATGTACACCCGAATGGACCTGAAGCTGAAACCAAAACCTCGAGCTCCTCTTTTGAGGATAATAGGTGGTTTCAAGCCACGGGCCAGGGGGGATGTGTCCCGGCTGGGTGATCCGTCTCGGGAACTTGTGCTGGAACCTCCCGGAGAAGCCGCTTTTGGGGTTGTGAATTCATCTGGGATGGAAGAGGAACAATTACATAAATATTACACTTCCTCTAAATAACAGCAACATGTGATCTTTTCAATTTGACTGGAATAATTAGAATGGTACATACATGGCCTTACATGCAGGGGTTTTCTTGTTTTCTAGAAAGAAATTCCCAGTACTCACCACAAAATGACTATTACAGTAGTGCTGGAAAACTGGACAACTAAAAATATACCACTGGAAAAAAAGTCCTATTGACAGGCAAAGGAACTTATACATATACACATTTAAAGAGAACACCTTTAAAGTAGTGATAATTATTCACATTCAACTAAAATAATTTATCATAAAGGATGCACTCAGGGAAAAGATTAAAATGAACACAAAAATTTTTCTTAACAGATAACAATGAAATGTACAAGACAAGGCCCAAGACATGGCCCAAGACATGACACAAGACATGATCCCAAGACACGACACAAGACATGATTCCAAGACACGACACAAGACATGATCCAAGACATGACACAAGACAAAGTTAGCCTCACCACCAGCAGCAGACGTAATGAGCAATGTCAAAGCATTGGCAGAAACCGACTTCTGCATGGTTAACTTGTTATCTCCCTTTGATTTCTGGTCACCTCTCTCCTTGCTGCCTTCTTTTCCTTCCTCCACTGGTGAGAGTTCTGGGGAAAAGTTGTCAAAAAAATACAAACATCACAATTATTGTAAGCCTTGGTCTGAAGGAAATAAGACTCTCCGTATGGGTCTTGAAGTCTCCCTGTGGGGAACAATAAGAGTAGACCTGCCCTTCAGCAGTCATGCTGTGAGAGTCGACTGACTATCTAGGGATTTTTCCTATGACTGCATCAGCCTTAAGGGCGAGGAACTAACAGTCCGCATACAAATAAGCCAGATCTGTCAAATAGATATTTACACAAAACTCAAGTTTTGGGACAAGATTATAAAATGCAGAAGTGGATGAACAATCTGAACTTTCAGCTTGAATTTACAGCAAGTGATCACAAAAGAAAAAAGAATAACAAATAAATAAGACCTATACGATGTCTGTATGTCCTTAACATCAATTTTTCTGTGCTGGTTTTGATTCCAGCTCCAATATTCCTGTACATTTTTTTATGCGAACTTTAGTGCTTCATACGTGCTGACACATGAAAACAGAAAATAAGAGAAGATAGCAGACATAAAAGAAAAGTAAACACAATAAGGCAAAAGAAAAAAAACCAGAAGGCACACAAAAAAAAAATCACACAACACTGACATGACCTGGAGAATATCAAAAGGGAGCTAATACCCTGAGACTACTGAAGCCATGCTTGCCACTCTGCATGAAGCTTACCTGTCTCCACCTTTCTCAACATGTTCTGTGAGTCAGTTAAATTATGACATAAGTGTACAGCTGGTCCTCAAGCTTCATCAGAGAAGACAACAAAGAGAAGAAGAAAGAGGAGAAAAGCCAAAAAGAAAGGAAGAAGATGGAAGAGAAAAGACACTAACATTGAAGAGAACAGATGGAAGACATTAATAAACAGCAGTAGTAACCTTTGGGGCTGGTTGTTTTGTCCTCCTCTGAGGAGATGGCAAACTTGGGGATGATATTCCTCAAGGGCAGCCTGTTGGCTCGCACCACCTGAGGTGAGTTACAGGAGTCACTGTCAGTCTGCGATGAGTCGGATATACTGAGGTTGTCACTGGCATGTCTGAAACAAACAAGCACTTTAGTGGCTCAGAGATAAACAATAAATATCTTTCAAAATAAATGACTGGAATTCAAATCTATCTTTAAATTACCCATAAAATGGAGACAGTTCACTATGAATAAATGGAATGGTTAGAAAGTCTCAATACATGGGCCCAGTGAGTACTTGCCAGGGGGTCCACAAGCATAGGGTCCTCATGATAATCTGTGAACGTTAAGTAGATAGTTGTCCTAGGGGTCCCAGTACAAGGGTTTGCCAACAAAAGCAAAGAATTAATAAATACTCTGGTTACAAGGTTTGGTTGTATTTGTGCATGCATTCCTTTCCCTTCACACCGTTAAGCTTTCTTATTCTTCTTAGCATTCACTGGATTTGAACCCCGGTGGGAAGTTCTGGTTGTTCGCCCACTCCTGAACTTTGAACTTGATCCAGAACTTGAGCTTTGCATGCCCACCTGTTTTACAGATCTGGCTTATTTATATGCAGACTATTACCTTCTTGCCTCTCCTGCAGATGCACTCTGACTTGGAAATTAAACTTTCTAATCATACTTTGTGTGTGTATGAGTGAGTGTGTGTGTGTCAGTGAGTGAGTGGTTGGGTGAGTGAGTGTGCATGTGTGAGTGAGTTAGTGAGTGAGAGTGTGTGTAAGTGAGTGGGTGTGTGTGTGTGTGTGCGTGAGTGTTTTTTTTTCTCTTCTTATCAAGTAACCCCTAAAGTGTATTCTTAGTTGCAAACACACACTCATCTATAAAATGGAAAAAGGAAAAGGACAACAGACAAAGATAAAATCAAGAGATGAATGAGTAAAAAGACAAGTAAATCGATAGATACAAACATCATTCCTCAATAGACAACTATTTTTTGGCCTTAAACAAGTCTACAACATACTCAAAGTTAAATGGAACTAAAAAGGAACTAAAATAATGATAAATTTTATCACAAGAAACTTCTGTCTGTGTAAATCATAGAAGCAATCACAAGAAGAAGACAGACAGGCAAGACAGACAGATGACTGACAACAGACACGGTTGACAAGACACAGCACCAAAGAGCCCACCTTTCATGACCTCTGTACACATCATCATCCTGCTGCCCCCTGTCACTGTCTGTGGTGTCGGACAGCACACTGTCTTTTCTTCTCATCAACTCCAGAGACCCATCAGAGCCTTCAGAATGATTGGAATCCTTGCGCTCCAAAGCTCTTTTCTCCAGAACCCTAAGCCTGAAGTCGTCAGCACTTGAATGTCTCCGCCTTTCCTTGAGTTCCTGACAAGTGTCGGAGAATCAAAAACCACACGTTATACTCACAGTTGAAATCCACTCCTATCTATTTGTGTATTTAAACAAAAATGGCTGATCATACTGAAGACAGCCTCTACAATCTCAAGGACAACCTGGCATCTCTGAGACTAATCTAAAGAAATATATGCTTTATGTTCATTTTGAGTGAGAGAGTGATGTCCAACCCCGCCAAGGCCGCACAATAAACGACCAACACCTGGCGACACAAAGTGCCACCATTCGGATGAGAATCGCCTGGACGCAAGTCCCAGAAACCCCATTCAACCTGAAGGTTATATATAGGGGCCCTGACACCAGCCGGGGTAGAGCTTTAAAATAACCGAAAAATTGCGTTCTATATTGGGGCAGGTCTATGACAGTGTTCATTTTCTTCTTCATTCACTCTTAAAAGAGTGGTTGGAACATTGGGTTGCGGTTTACAGTTGTAATGACCCTGCTTTGCAAAGGTAAAGATGCATTATTTCAGGCCCTTTGGCCAAACATATTCAACTTCAGCAGACCCTTAAATTTTTCACTTTTAAGGACATGCTTGCTAAGAGTCGCAAGCCTATTCTTTTTTGCTTCCAAAGTTGGGTCCTGAATTGTTCTGATACTGTACAAACTGTTTCCTGTGTGAGCCCCAGGACCCAATTTTGGGGAGAAAGGAACAGACCCACTGCCTCCGAAACAAGCGTTCCCTAAGAGGTGACAAGTTAGAGGGTTTGCTCAACTCTGATGTGTTGGTCCAAAGGGTGCATATATTGCAGCCAAGCAGTAAACAACAAAACAATGTGCCCATTGCCCCTCTAAGGGCTAACACAGAGACAACACAGTATGCATATAACAAATCAATTACCAGGAAAACTATCTTCAGATGAAACACGTTAACAGCGAACTTGTCAATGGATGAAACAGATTATTTATAAAAGCTGTCACTGAATTTAAGCAATTATCATGTACATCTAAAACTGTTTGAAAGTGGTGTTATCAACGGCACTTGAGTGTTGAGCTAAGAACTGTGACCACAGCGTTCAGGTCATCCCATAAACGCTCTACTAACATCTTCAGCAGCCAGCAAAGAGTTCCACTTCAAATGGAGCCAGTAGCAGTTTGCTTATATGTCTGCTTTTGCTCTGAGTGTAGAGTGTCGACCAGATCCCCTGTCACTCCCAGCTGTACCATTCTCTCCAGACCATAATGATCCATTCACGCCTCTGCACTGTTCACTTATTCCTTAACAGTCAGAAGAGGAACTAGATTATTATGGGCTGAAGAGAATGATGCACCAGGGTGTGACCATAGGGTTCAGCCAGCACACTACGCTCACAGGAAAGGCAAGACTGACATACAAATAGAGTTCCAATACTAATGCTGCTGGAACTGAGCAGCAGCTGTTGAGGATGGGGATGGAGCCCTTATGGGAATGCCCCCAGTGCTGTGATGTCAATTCTTGACTCAACTCAACTCAACTAAACTGTCTGGACCACATCTAGTTCCGCATGTATAAACACCCCTCCTTCCAATTGGTGCAGAACTAGCCAATCTGTTAATTTCCCAACACTTTGACAGATCCCTGAGAAAATATCCAAAGAATGCTAATTACCCAGATGAAAAAACATTTAAAAAAAAAACCAAAAACATAAATGAATGTTACTAGTCAGAGACTGTTACTCTACTCTAAAGTACACACACTTCTAAATATAAAGTGTTACAAGTGTCTGGGGCTGACACAGTTAATGCTTTTCACGTTATCAACTTCACAAAAGTTAAACACACATCACAGCTTGGGAAAGTAATCAAGATAATAACAGACTGACAACACAGAGGATTCAATCAACAATTTGGCAACAGTTATCACATCAATTTGTATCTTGGCTTTGTATCTGCATTGAGCTTTTTTTGTTTTTTTTTTAAACCTGACCTTGGCTCTCAGGTCAACCCAGCATAAAACTAGTACTAGGTAAAGTCCTGGGAAGTAAAGGTGGCTGGCAAGATGTTGACCACATCACACACTGAGTGCCAACTGGTCAAAGAAATAGAGGTCCAGCATTTGAAACCCAAAATGTTTTAGGGCATGGAAAAAAAGTCCTATACTTAATATAACATCATTCTTCAGCAACAACTGTGACAACATGAACGATTATGCAACGACTGTGATGACATCAACAATTATGCAACACATGTAATGACATCAACAATTAGGCAACAGTCAGTTGAAGTTGGGTGTTGAAATTAGCACAATCAATGGTGGAAGGAAAGGAAACAATGAATGGAGGAAAACATCAAATATTTCTGCAGTATTCTAATCAATTCAATTTACAGCTGAACCCAATGACGGTTCAGAGGTCACAGAACCAAATCTAGTGAGCCCGGTTTGGAAAACCCAGCTATTTTTCGGTATCTAAACAGTTAAGTAATGAATTGTATATATTAGTAGGAAAAACCTACAATATTCCATCCACCCTTCAAGGGTCCTAGACAGATGGTGCTAACCCCATTTTTCATACACTGATCTCTGACCACAGGCAAGCTTGGCCGACTGTAGTTCTGTACAATGGGTGCACACATAAAGCTCAGGTTTCGAAACACAGCCAAAGTCCAGAAATGGACGAGCAACCAGTGCTTCTGGCCATAGTTTAAGCTGGTGAGTGCAAACAAACAACATGAACATTCACTGATCTGCATCTGATTGATGGTATGGGTCCCACTGGCCGCCTTTACTTTCACAAACATTTTCTGGTCTTCATTTGGGGTTGGATCCACCTGAGAATCCAGGTCAATAGTTTTAGGACCCTTTTCCGCACCTACAGGTGTATCGGGTATATAGTGTTAGACCTATATTTGTGAGACCAATCGTTGTTCAGCACTTGGTGGGTGTTGTGGTCACCATCTTACCAGCTGCCCTCACTTGCCAGGACTATACCTGGCACTCGTTTAAGGCTGGGGTCGACCTGGCTGCTAACATCATTAAAAAAAAAAAAAAAGTTTGGCTCTGTAAGGATTTGAACCCATGTCATTCAGATCTGGAGGCTAGCATCTAGCCACTATGCCATGAAGGCCCCGAGACCAATATTAAAAAGTAGAACTTCCTGTCTCACAACATAGCGCCACTAGACTGGTAGGATCCCATGGAAATGCTGGGCATCACTGCAACATCATCATCATGTGCATCAATACAGCACACCAGAAAGCCATTTTATCCCTTGCCAACTTCTCTACCTCATCAGCCCAGGTTGTAATTAACATCCTGTATTCACTATCATACTGTTTGATGCCCATATCTTCGTCCCATAACCATATGCTCCATTACAGTTCTTTCAAAACCAATATAGCTGGCAGGATGACTGAGGTATTTCAGTTTCTGAGAAAGGATATTGTCTACGAGCCAGCACACACTGATGTTGTCTACGAGCCAGCCCACATTGATGTTGTCTACAAGCCAGTCCACACTGATGTTGTCTACGAGCCAGCCCACATTGATGTTGTCTACAAGCCAGTCCACACTGATGTTGTCTACGAGCCAGTCCACACTGATGTTGTTTATGAGCCAGCACACACTGAAGTTGTCTACCAGCCAGTCCACATTGATGTTGTCTACGAGCCAGTCCACACTGATGTTGTCTACGAGCCAGTCCACACTGATGTTGTTTATGAGCCAGCACACACTGAAGTTGTCTACGAGCCAGTCCACATTGATGTTGTCTACGAGCCAGTCCACACTGATGTTGTCTACGAGCCAGTCCACATTGATGTTGTCTACGAGCCAGTCCACACTGATGTTGTCTACTAGCCAGTCCACATTGATGTTGTCTACGAGCCAGCACACACTGAAATTGTCTTGGAGCCAGCCCACATTGATGTCTACGAGCCAGCACACACTGAAGTTGTCTACGAGCCAGTCCACATTGATGTCTACGAGCCAGCACACACTGAAATTGTCTTGGAGCCAGCCCACATTGATGTTGTCTACGAGCCAGTCCACATTGATGTCTACGAGCCAGCACACACTGAAATTGTCTTGGAGCCAGCCCACATTGATGTTGTCTACGAGCCAGTCCACATTGATGTTCAGCTCTTGAAGAGCGTCAGTATTGTTCTGTTTCTTGGTCTATGATATTTGCCCTGGGGGACTTAACATCCAACAAAGTTTATCAAATTTGTTCTTAGTTATGGCCCTTGCCGTTCACAGTTTTTTTTTTGGGCTAGTATTTATTTCCGGGTGTCACACACACGTAACAGAGATTCAACTGGCCAGGCAGACATGCAATTCCTCTCTTAACTTCAGTTAAGTGATTTTATGTATTCTTGGTCCTGTTTGTGGTATTGTATATTCACGTATTGTGCGAATGAAGGATCTCTAGCTATAATGATCACCTGTCCTTTGTGTTTGTGATAATGTGAACCTGCTTGGTTCTACGGTTTGTTTGGTTTGATATCCTTTCATATTCTAAGACACTTCCAGTATCTTCTTAGTTCACAAGAACCAAATTTCTTTTTCCTTTATTTTAGTGATTGTGACACAGTCAACCCCTTATATCCAGAAAGAAAAGATGTGTGTTCAGCAACATGTGCTCAGGAACTTATCCCTTTGTTAGCAGTGATGCTGATGACGACTGAATAGAGACAATGAATTACTGGCAATTTATCAACTGAATAGAGACAATGAATTACTGGCAATTTATCAACTGAATAGAGACAATGAATTACTGGCAATTTATCAACTGAATAGAGACAATGAATTACTGGCAATTTATCAACTGAATAGAGACAATGAATTACTGGCAATTTATCAACTGAATAGAGACAATGAATTACTGGCAATTTATCAACTGAATAGAGACAATGAATTACTGGCAATTTATCAACTGAATAGAGACAATGAATTACTGGCAATTTATCAACTGAATAGAGACAATGAATTACTGGCAATTTATCAACTGAATAGAGACAATGAATTACTGGCAATTTATCAAGAACAGATACTGACTGGGGAGATATACAGATTCCACACATTTTACCAGTTTGCTAGAAAAAAAAAAAAGACTATGTATCTACTGAAAGAAAAAGGTAATTAAAAAAAAACAGACAACCAAAATACTTGGGCCACATTAAATGAAACAAGAACTTTTAAAAACTATACTAAAGGAAAGGTCGATGGAAAGGCAAGAGATGGGCAATGATACAAGTGGGAGGATAACATCAAGAAATGGACGGGCAGCACTCTGAGAGAGTGTACAACCAGGACAAGAGACAGAGAGTGTTGGAGATCCATTGCAGAGACGGCACCTGACTGATTGATTGTATGTAACTGCCTTAGCAGAGCCTCCCAGGTCAAAGAATATGGAATTTATATGAAAATTTGTCTTGTTGTAAAGTAATAACGGAACCCTGCGCTGTGTTGTTTTTCACGTCCATCTACAGTAAAAACTTGGGTTTGATATCTGGTGAGGGGTCGAACAAACAAACTTGATTTTCTCTTGCTTACGCATATGAATACAGTATGTAATTGTGTGCATGCACATATGTATGTAAGTATGTGTGCACATACATGTGTATATGTGTGTGCATATGTATATGCATTTATGTGTGTATAAATGCCAAAGCAAGCACAGTCAAGGTACTAAGGTACTCAATGTGGGTTAGGAAATGCTGCCAATATAAATTAAACCATAAAATTAACACATGAAACAAAAAATCTATAACATACGAGTGTCTTCAGAGCAAGGGAACAGTGCTGAAGAGTGCTACTGTACCTTGACAAGAACAGGACATAAAAACATCTCTGCATCAACGGTAAAAGGTAAAAGGCTGGAGCTGTCTTTGGATCTGGTTTAGCTTCATTCCACGGCAGTGAATTCAAAGATGTGTGCTCGCGGGACATGAAGGATACAGGTATTGAGCTAGACTCATCGGTACAGGATGACACACTCAATGTCCTGTTATGTCATTATATATCACAATTGGCTCAAAGTCTATTTCTTCATTGTTCTGTTCTGTGCAACCACTTTGATATCATGGACGGAATCCAGTCCAGCAGCTTTGGCTTCTTTCACTAATGTTCGCCTTAGGGTTTCTCTTGGATGTCCTTGCTTCCTCAATCCATCTATATCCCATTTCAGTGCCTGTTTGGTGATTCTCTGTTCATCTCTTCTCACAATGTGTCCCATACAGAGCCATCTTTTCTGTCTTACAACTGTTAGTTCCAGTGGTTGCCCAGATATTTCTCTTATTTCTTCACTCCTCTTGAATTCCTCCATTTCATGTTCATCATTTTCCTCAGACCGGGAAAGAAATCACGAAGGGAACATGGACAAAGAAGAAAGAACATGGACAAAGAAGAAAGAACATGGACAAAGAAGAAAGAACATGGACAAAGAAGAAAATTAATGAAGAAAGGTTCAGAGCTGAGGGCCAAAGAAGAAACATGTACAATACATGTGACGGCAACAGCGATCCTGAAATCTCAAGCTCTTTATAGTAGAAGATTCTTAATACAAGCCTGTCGTGCTAGTGGCCCTCCGCATTGCCATGGGTTGTGATTAACATGCCTCCCTTTCACACAGTGGAACACAATCATCTGGAAAGACGGAAACATGCCAAGAAAGACAGTGATAGCAGAACAGAGAAGATAACATCAAACACACTGCAGACAAACAAGACAGGTTTGACAGAAATACTAATCACTATGGGGGTTCCTTGAGGCCACTTAAATAGCATGATAAATTAACAAGTACTGACTAACACTTATAGAAGCCGAGGTGACAGGTTCAAATCCCTCCCTGTATGGTAACTATAGCATTTGATTTTCATCTTGTTTAAAAAAATAAAAGAAAATTTGGACCCTTTTCCCTCCAGTGGGGCATTAGGAATGTGACACTAGACCCATATTTGTGTACAGGCCAATCAACACTCTGTGTTTGCTGTACTCAACATTATGTCATCTGCCTTTACTTCCCAAAGCATCTCCTTGAACTCATTTAGACGGAGTCCATCCGGCAGTTAAGGTCAATTATTAACCCCCCCCCCCCCCACAAAAAAAGTCACTTTAAAGAAGATCTGAACCCAAGACATTCTGACTGACAGGCAAAAAATCTAGCCACTGCACCACCAAGGCTTCCATGTTATATATGTGACTTTCTATTTTTACTTCTTTCCTCTCCTTCTTCAAGTGCCAATCAGTACTTATAAATTTATTAACAGAGGTTGGAGGGTGTTGCAAGTGGTGGGGCTGGTAAACAACAAAGACTCCAGTTGAGGTGAGCCGGAGCTGCTTGGGGACAACACCTAGTGATTCCTGGCCACATAGTTACGATGGTTACCAAAGTCACAACACCATCGTAAATGTATGTATGTTAAAGACCTGTGGAGGAACGCTAGCGTATGGACTGAGGAAGGCCATGTTTACATCATTAATCAGCGGCTCCAGGCCTCGGTTGTAGACTTTTGAATAACGAGGCGAGCAGGAGGAGAAGCTGTGGAACAGTAAGTCTTCGCCATCATCTTCCGTATCTTCTGTGTCTATGGCGTGGTTGTACCTCTCAACTCGACCTGTAGGATTACAAGATAATTATCTAACTGCTGACAACAGTTAGTTGTTCTAGTTACACTGTGCACACAGCAGGTGAAATTAATGTAGAAAACAACAATAAACAACATACAGATATAACATCTATATTATATTTTTAAAGGATATTTTTCTAGATTTTGATCTTACTATTCCTCTGTACAGTTTAACGACAGAAATAAAAATGACTTACAAAAAAATCTTTAAAAAAAAATGACTTACAAAAATATCTATCTGGTCTTACAGAGACACAATCACATAAATAAAATGATTTACTATATGTGAACATAGTCTTAACAGACACAATCATAGACGTCAAAATGACTGAGTATGTGTCTATACAACCAATCACAAAAATCACACTGACTTACTAAATATCAATAGAGGTTTAAAAAGAGACAATCACAGAAAGAAAGCTGACTCACTCTATGTCTACTTAGAGTTATACAGATACAATCACATAAATAAAAATGACTCAATATATGTATATTTCGTCTTATACAGACACAATCAGATACATAAGAGTTTCTTCTAAATCGGAGTACATCTGCCTGAGAGGCAAGGAACCAACAGTCTGTATGCAAATAACTCAGACCTGTGAAACGGATGTACACGCAACACCCAGTTTCTGGAACTGGTCTAGAGTCCAGAAGTGGACGAACAACCAGAACTTTTCCGACGGAGTTTACAGCCAGCGAACGCGAAGAAGAAGATGAAGAAGATACATAAAAGTGACATGTTGACAGTCTTATACAGACAAAATCACATACGTGAAAATAACACACTATATGTCTACTAAGTCTTATACAGACACAAATCACAGAAATAAAATGTCAATAAAGTCTTATACAGACAGAATTACAGACATAAAAATGACCCAGTATAGTCTTATACAGACACAATCAGCAACAGAAGTAAGCCTGACTTACTACATACTGATTTTGTTTTATTCAGACAAAGCTATAGACATAAAAATAACCCAGCATTTGTCTATTCAGTCTTATACAAACACAATCGTATAAATAAAAATCACTATATTTCAATACAGAAAAAAATCACAGAAAGAACAGTGACTCACTATATATCTATTTAGCCTTATAAAGACACATTCATATACTTAAAAGGGATTTTCCTGGTTTTGTTTATACAGACACAGTCATACTGATAAATTAAACGAAGTCTGAAGTTTGAACAACAGATCAACATAATGGCACACGGGTAGTAACCTAAGCTACTCTTTTCAATTTTGAACTGCCAAGGGATTTTTTTACATGCACAACAATGCACACAGGCATCTGATCTCACTACCCAGAGACCAGGGGGAATTACTAGAAGTCCAAGTCCACGTGAAAAGATCTCAGCCCTTACCGGGGATTGAACCTGGAACCTCTAACAGTTTATACAGACACACAAAAATTTAAAAAAAAGGGACTATGTGTAAACAGTTCACACAGACACAGCCATTTAAAAAAAATTACTTACTTGGAGTCAACTGTTTACAGACACAACCATTGAAAAATGTGACTCACTATCAAAGTAGCTGGTGTCATCCTCTCCATCCAGCTGAGGTACAAACTCTGCCTTCTGCCTCAGCAAGTTCTCCCAGTTGAGTCCCACAAAGAACACATGGTCCTTCACCTCCTGGGCTCCTCCTGTGCCCAGTCTCTGCAGTGGGTCATGTTGCAGCAGTCCCAGGATGAGATCTTTGGCATCGTCACGGACTGACCACTCCTCTTCATCTGGCCACTGTATGCTCTCTGAAGAAAACAAACATTTCAGGGGGCTGTATAGAGATATCTTTATCACTGTACACCTATCCCTGTGTGGATTCTGGGGGCACCTATTTCCACATGGGTTCTGGGGGGCACCTATTTCCAGGTGGGTTCTGGGGGCACCTATTTCCAGGTGGGTTCTGGGGGGCCATAACGTGCGAAAAATGAATAAATCCAAGCATTTTTTTTTCTAGTGGTAATGATGCACAGCGCAGGCAACTGGAACAAGACTAAAGTCCATAACTGGATACACAAGCAACTTTTGGCCTGAGTTTACAGCCTGTGAATGCTGTGAGTCAGTTACAATCACAGCATGTGTGTACAGCTGATTCTCAAGCTAGCGGAAGGCAGCAGAGACTGCCTCCACCTCCATTCTCAAATTAGACGTGATATCATATGCAAGGCTTTGCTGCACTAGGCAACATCCATTCGCCTTTGCTATGAAAATCCATGCACTTCGTCTGCCCCTCAACACAGAGCCATCTGTATAGATAATCACATCACTTGGGTGGGAATTGTCATAAATCATTTGTTGAACTTCTGAGTCTACAGCGCCAGCTAGCCAGTCTCTGCACTAAAGAGAAGAAGAATAGGGTGTCTGAGATTCTTGAAGTCTTTGGTGTAATGAAACCTTCAGGCATAGCAGCAGCACAGGTTGCGGGGAGATGGACCGCTCCAGATAGTAACAAGCAAGCTGGTCAGTCCTTAAGGGACCAAAAATAACTGACAGGTTACCACACTGAGGTGACGATTTCTGCATTTACATAACCAAACACCTGAACTGCTTGCTCCTGGCATTATTAAGATGGCGATCCATGATCTCCGCAGCTTATCAACATAGCAAATGAGGACGATGATGAACAACTTCTGAACTCACCATTGATGACCTGGGAGAAGAGCTCTTCAGGGGTGTCACCAAAGAATGGGACACAACCCACCAGAAATTCATACAGGATGATGCCCATAGACCACCAGTCGACAGGTTTCCCATATCCAGACTTGAGGATGACTTCAGGGGCAATGTACTCTGGTGTTCCAAACACCTGCTTGTCTCGGAACTGTTTGCAGTCCTTGTCCAGGGCATCCTCATAGAGATTTGTGGTCACTGAAGAGAGGGAAAGTGAAAGCTTGTGAATTCATTCAATTCATGAAATGATTTTATTCCTGTATAAACAATTATGTGGTGTATAGGAGAATCCCTAGAATTCCTTGGACAGCCAAAAAAAAATTGCAACCCAGATGTTTTAAAAGAGGCTCAAAGACAACTTATCAGAAACATCAGAAAGAGACAGTCATCAATCTTTGGTTATGTTATGAGAAGAGGGAAACTGGAACATTCTGTGACCACTGGAAAGATCAGTGGATCAAGAGACAAAGGAAGATAATGGATGAAGATTCTTGACTGCCTTTTGTCATGGCATGGAGGGGTTTCAGCAAACAAACTGATACATGCTGCTGAAGGTCAGAAATTGTGGAGAGGCATGGCATGGAGGGGTTTCAGCAAACAAACTGATACATGCTGCTGAAAGTCAGAAATTGTGGAGAGGCATGGCATGGAGGGGTTTCAGCAAACAAACTGATACATGCTGCTGAAGGTCAGAAATTGTGGAGAGGCATGGCATGGAGGGGTTTCAGCAAACAAACTGATACATGCTGCTGAAAGTCAGAAATTGTGGAGAGGCATGGCATGATCATGCAGGCCGGTTGGCAAGGCACTTGACAATGATGATAAACAACAATGGGAATAAAACCTGTTTCATAAAAGAGGACGTAAGTCATTAGCAATGGGGAAAGAAATTGATATAGAAGAAGATGCTTGCTTAAAGGAAAGGTGTTTGATAGAAGAGAGGGTGTTTGCTACCAGAGAAGGTGTTAACTACAAGAGAAGATGTTTGATAGAAGAGAAGGTATTTCCCACAAGAGAAGACATCTGCCACAAGAGAATGGGTTTGTCACAAGAGAAGATGTTTACCACAAGAGAAAGCGTTTGTTACAACGGGAATATGATGCTAGATTTATATTTTTATAAACTAGTCAGCAATCAGTGGCCATTAGCTGGCCTTCGTCACTTCCCACAATATTACCTGGTACCCATTTTAGATTGAGTTAACCTAGGAGCTATAGTCAATTTGAGGGGGAAAAAAAGGAGTCCTTTATGAAAGAGATTCTTCTTCTTCTTTGTATTTACCGGCTTCACACTCAGGTGGAAAGCTCTGGTTGTTTGTCCACTTCTGGACTTAAGTCGTTTCAGAACTTGAATTTTGTGAGTACATTTGCGATAAATATCTGGCTTAAGTGTATGCAGACTGTTGGTTTCTCGCCTCTCAGGCAAATTCATTCTGATTTCAGAGGCAAAACTCTCGCCTTTCACGACATCATTGTTAGGGGAACAATGGGTCTAGGCCACCCCTCCCCCCCCCCCACCCAATATGGGCCACTAGAACCCACATGGGTTCAAACATAAGACCTTCAGACCTGCAACCAAGTATATAGCCAGTATGCCACCGCAGCTCCCAAAATTTACCAACATGTTACTAAGCCTGTCATAGTGAAATGTCTGGTTACTCAGAATCACAAGCATGATACACATTTCTGAACTTACAGCTCATGAGTCCAATCTTTGAGAGGCCAAAATCAGTCAACTTGACATGACCCAGGGCAGTTATCAGCAAACTGGTAGAAAACAGAAAGAATTAGCTTCATGAAAGGAATATGGAGAAAGTTGGAACCACATCTTCTTCTTTAGCATTCTGAGTCCACGAGGTTCCTTGATACAGATATCAACAGCCTCCATTCATCTCTATTTTGTAACCATTTGGAAATAAAGTTCATTCATTCGTTCTGTGATTAGTCTTCTTCCAGTTGGTGGCTCCAAGTATTTGTAGTTCTGTATGTTATCTCTCCATCTCGGTCTGCCTCACGGTCTACTCCAATTCACTACTTTTGTTTGTGCAGTTTCTGTCTCTGTTATCTACTATTCTCTCTCTATGCCCCATTCAAACTTCTTATTATCTAGAAATAACTTGGACTGATTCTTCCAGGACTGGGTTGGATTCTGCTGCAAATGAAATATTTAAAACTGGATAAAAACATTACCGACCTAGACCAAATCTCAGCCAACCTAGAAGTGCGGTACAGGACCTGAATCTGGAAACATCCTAATGTGGAGATGTGAGAAACCGGTTCAAGTCTTGCACACTCAATCCAGTTTCTGAGCTTCATCTTCATTATCCTCATCACCCAGTTGTATCGCCCTTACACGTCACACAGGACTCCAGTTTATTCCTCCATTCCATTCTATCCCGTACCGTTATTTCAACGTCATGGGTGGAATCCAATTCAGCATCTAATGTTTAATTAAGAATTGACACCACAGCACTCAGGACATTCTCATAAGAGCTCCATTCCCCCATCTTCAGCAGCATGCAAAGAGTTCTAATTTTGATGGTACCAGTAACAATAAGATTGTATATATTTCACCTTTTCCTAGACAGTTCATCATCAGCCTGATCCACTAGTAATTCATCGCAGCACCATTCTCCTCAGACCGTGATGATTAATCTATGACTCCACATTGTTCCCTCGCCGCCAAAGAGCGGTTACAACATCTAGCTTGTCATGCAGCAATTTACCACCAAGTGGTGCAGAACCAGCCAGTCTATCTGCATGTTTATTTCCCAACACACCGTCACACACTGGAGAAAATATCCAAAGATGCTAAGTAACTGGGACGTTTGAAGCGATACTTGCCACACTTCACAGAGCACACCTGTCTCCATGTTTCTCAACATGCTTTGTGAATTAGTTACAATTATGAAATGTGTGTACAGCTGATTCTCAAGCAAGTGGAAGGCTGTAGTGACTACCTCCACCTTCATTCTCAAACTAAATATTGTTATGTCATATGCCAGGCTTTGTTGCATTAAGCGTACATTCAGTCGTTTTGCTAAGAACCCTCAAGAACTTTGCCTCTCAACAAAAAGCCATCTGTATAGTTAATCACATCACCTGGGCAAGAACTGCCATGAATCAATTGTTGAACTTCTGATTCTGCACTGCCCGCTGGCCAGTTCCTGCACTTATAGCCCAATGTGCCCTTTGTTTACAGAACCTGTGCCCTGCCCTCACTGACCTAGACTCTTCCGGGCACATACTGGACTCATAAGTCACCTCCGGACTGACAAACATTCAACTGCAGTTTCATGACAGGTGAAAGAAAGAATGGTCCTCATCACTTGTGATGGATGAGCGAACAGACCAATGTGGTTAGGACCCTATAACATTCTGACACTTGCTGGGTACTATGACCCATCCTCCCCCAATATTATCAAACCTGCACACACAGGTCTAATTGTGTCTTCAGCTTGCACTCACCAAGACCTTCCTCTTTTGCTTTATGCAAAAGGTGTTTCTTGTCTGTGGCTACTCTTAAGATATGACTTTTCTTACAGCAATTTAAGCCTATCTCTAAAACTCACAGTGCAAGTGTGTGTGTGTGTGTGTGTGTGTGTGTGTGTGTGTGTGTGTGTGTGTGTGTGTATATATCAATTTAAAAAAAAAAAAAAAAAACAACAACAAAGAGAAAACTGACTTGTCAGGTTTCAGATCTCGATGGACAATCCCATAACTGTGGAGATATTCCAGAGCTAGCACCGTCTCAGCAAAGTACATTCTGGATGAAGAAAACAAAACTTTGAAAACTAAACCTCATGGAAGTAATTTGCGAATGTGACAGGGTTATCCAATGAAGAAAAGTGAGATGAGTTAAGTAATCAGTAAATGTGAGGGTTATCAAATGAAGAAAAGTGAGATGAGTTAAGTAATCAGTAAATGTGAGGGTTATCAAATGAAGAAAAGTGAGATGAGTTAAGTAATCAGCAAATGTGAGGGTTATCAAATGAAGAAAAGTGAGATGAGTTAAGTAATCAGTAAATGTGAGGATTATCAAATGAAGAAAAGTGAGATGAGTTAAGTAATCAGCAAATTTGAGGGTTATCAAATGAAGAAAAGTGAGATGAGTTAAGTAATCAGCAAATGTGAGGGTTATCAAATGAAGAAAAGTGAGATAAGTTAAGTAATCAGTAAATGTGAGGGTTATCAAATGAAGAAAAGTGAGATGAGTTAAGTAATCAGCAAATGTGAGGGTTATCAAATGAAGAAAAGTGAGATGAGTTAAGTAATCAGTAAATGTGAGGATTATCAAATGAAGAAAAGTGAGATGAGTTAAGTAATCAGCAAATGTGAGGGTTATCAAATGAAGAAAAGTGAGATGAGTTAAGTAATCAGTAAATGTGAGGGTTATCAAATGAAGAAAAGTGAGATGAGTTAAGTAATCAGCAAATGTGAGGGTTATCAAATGAAGAAAAGTGAGATGAGTTAAGTAATCAGTAAATGTGAGGGTTATCAAATGAAGAAAAGTGAGATGAGTTAAGTAATCAGCAAATGTGAGGGTTATCAAATGAAGAAAAGTGAGATGAGTTAAGTAATCAGTAAATGTGAGGATTATCAAATGGAGAAAAGTGAGATGAGTTAAGTAATCAGCAAATGTGAGGGTTATCAAATGAAGAAAAGTGAGATGAGTTAAGTAATCAGTAAATGTGAGGATTATCAAATGAAGAAAAGTGAGATGAGTTAAGTAATCAGCAAATGTGAGGGTTATCAAATGAAGAAAAGTGAGATGAGTTAAGTAATCAGTAAATGTGAGGATTATCAAATGAAGAAAAGTGAGATGAGTTAAGTAATCAGCAAATGTGAGGGTTTTCAAAAAAAGAAAAGTGAGATGTGTTAAGACCAAACATCATAGCACTCAAGATATTCCCATGAATGCTCTTCAGCAGGGGGACGGATAAAAGACGATAGTAATTCCAAGGCCGAGATGAATGTAGTTGTGCAATTTCATCATCATCATTACTGTCTTATTGTGCCACTATATCTCACATAGGGTCCACAGTCTTATTGCTCCATTCCATTCTGTTCTTGCAATCAATTCAATATCGTCAACAGAATCCACTCCAGTACTTTTTGCCTCTCTCATTAACATTCATTTAAGAGTATTTGTGTGTGTGGACATCCTCACTTCCTAAGTTCCTTTATTCATTTTAGATCTGTATTATTTCCTATTTCCCATTTCTAATATTAATTTACTATACCGAATATGCTTTTACATAACTGTATCATCATCATCATTATCAGGTAGCTTATTACACAATGAATTTCCCCCCCCATAACAATCATAATTTCTCTCCATTAAAAGCTAGTACTTGTTGCTTTGATGTGTATGCCATACATCAACCATTCTGAATCATATTCATAAAGTGCCTTGTTGTCTGGTGTAGGCGATCAAGCCTTTCCACAACCTGCCATCTCCAACAGCATGTCTCAGATGATGAACTGACTGACATATTTTCAAGGCGATAAGAATCTTTTGTTTTTCTTTTCTTCCCCGAATGGGGCACTAATAGACATTTTCTGTGATTTCTACTGGTACAGGAAAGGAACTGTTATGGCACAACCCATCTTAATTCAGAACAAGAGTTTTGTGTGCACATCCATTTTACAGATCTTGTTTACCTGCATGCAGACTGTTGGTTCCTTGGCTCCACTGCACCAAGACTTAGAAGGAAACACCTGTAGTTAGTAGCCTTTTGCTACATGTTTGTTAGAGAGGCAATGGTTTGTAGTCTTTTAACTTTAAAATGGGGCTCCAGAAGCCATAAGGGAAAATCAGCGTTTGAGCATTGAGATCTCGGAAGAATAAGGTAGCTGTGTACAAAATAATTTTTCATTTTGACCTATGAGGAGTGGGAATTTACGTGTGTGTGTGTGCATGCGTTTGTGTGTTTTACCTCTTTGGCATATTGTAAAGAGACAAATGACAGCCCCGTAAATGCTGTAAGGTGATTTTGAAAGAGTGGCAACAAAATGACCTAAAACCTCCAGTTAACACATACCTATCATTCGGTTACACTTTTAAACACAACCTACAAAACCAGTAAAAGACAGGAAACTACATCTAACTCCTCTCTACGGCACTTTATGGCACAAGCAGTAGGAGTAAAGAAAGACAGAAGACTCTAGCCACAACTGTGAGGTGTCTTACCTGGCCAGGTCCAAAGCTAGACTCCCAACATTCTTCAGTAAAGTGGCACAGTCACCACCTTCTACATACTCCATGACCATGCACAGATGTTTCTGGAGGAGAGGTTAAATATGAGTTAACAAATCTTAAATGTTGGAGGCTTTCAATCTAAACTTCTGTAACACAGGTAGAGTGCCAAACAAGACACAGGATGAGAGCCAGACTTGCAATGAGATGGCAGAACCATATGAGATGGGAGTCAAATTTGCCGTTATAATGCAAAATCTTTGCTTGATTTCTTTTTCTTCTGCACATTCACTGGTAGTAAATAAACTCAAGCAAAAGATTCTGGTTGTTTGTCCACTTCTGGACTTTAGCCTTCTTTCAGAACTTAAGTTTTGTGTGCACATCCATTTTTCCAATTAGGTTTATACATATGCAGACTGTTGGTTCCTCACATCTCAGATGGACACACTCTCTCTGAAGGAAGCAACGCTAATTAGTCATGCAGGAGCAGGGGGGTGGGGCGGGGGGGGGGGGGGGGGGGGAGTGGGTCCACTCTTTTAACCCCAAAATGGGACCCTAGAAGCCATTGGGGAAGTCTTCTTTGTTTAACATCAGTATTCACACATTCCCACGACAGGCAGCTGCAGTGGCCCAGTAGCTAGACACTATACTCCCAGACCAAATGTTTTTGGTTTGAAACCCCATCAAGTCAGATAGTTTTTTCTTTTTCAAAACCTTGGCTCCCAGGCCAGCCCAACATTAAATGGGTAGCAGGTAATGCCCTGGGAACTAACTGTCGCCACCGAGTTCTGGGAACTAACTGTCGCCACCGAGTCCTGGGAACTAACTGTCGTCACCGAGTCCTGGGAAATGTCGCCACTGAGGGTCGATCGATCTATCAAACTATGATTCTAGCACCATATACCTGATACACCACTGGCCGAATAAGGGTCGGTTACTTTTACTCTCTCTGTGGTAGCCTTAAAGTTTATCTAAACGACACTATCATGTCAAAAATTCTGAATTTTTCTTGTGTATAAGATGTTATGTTTTCCCCATTTATGTTCAGTTTAAAACTGAGGGTCAACTTATTCACAACATGTGTTTAAAATATGAATGTATTCATTCTGGGATTGGGGGATAACAATTAGAGGTCATCTCATAGACAGGGGTAATCTCATACACGGGGGTCATCTTATATGTGGGAGAAATATGCTAAGTACTACACAAAATTTGGATCATTAGAACACAGGTACTCAATTAGACACAATCTGATAATAAGCCAATACTGGTATTGCTGCTTAAAATATTTATCTTAATGTCAAATGAAGACATCTGTACACATCAGCAACAAGGAGAATAATTACAACAATTATTTAAAAAGCTAAAAACATTTTAAATAGTTTCTGTGCAGAATCGAACCACTATAATTGAATTACAGAGCTGAACACTGTATGGCTAATCAAGAAGTGAGGAAAAGTTTAATAAATCTGGATAAGATCCACATCAAGAAAACTTGATAACAGAATCAGTTGAATGTACTTTTACTGGAAAACATAGTGAGGAAGCATTAGAGGGAAATCTAAAATCAATTGTAGAATGGATTAAGAGATATAGATTAACAACATAGGTGAGGACATGTGGCCAAAGATAATATGGTAGCATGAGTTGGCTAAAGGCATAAGCCACAGTGGGTGAAGGAAGGAAGGAAGGAAGGAAGGAAGGAAGGAAGGAAGGAAGGGAGGGAGGGAGGGAGGGAGGGAGGGAGGAAGGAAGGGAGGGAGGGAGGGAGGGAGGGAGGGAGGAAGGAAGGAAGGAAGGAAGGAAGGAAGGAAGGAAGGAAGGAAGGAAGGAAGGAAGGAAGGAAGGAAGGAAGGAAGGAAGGAAGGAAGGAAGGAAGGAAGGAAGGAAGGAAGGAAGGAAGGAAGGAAGGAAGGGAGGAAGGAAGGAAGGAAGGAAGGAAGGAAGGAGGAGAAGAAGAAAGAGGAGAAGGAGGAGGAGAAGAAGATGAAGAAGAACTGCCTACATGAGGTATTCAAATATTATGTAAACAAATAGTAAGCAAACCTAAGAAGACAAGAAAACTTGATAACAGAATCAGTTGAATGTACTTTTACTGGAAAACATAGTGAGGAAGCATTAGAGGGAAATCTAAAATCAATTGTAGAATGGATTAAGAGATATAGATTAACAACATAGGTGAGGACATGTGGCCAAAGATAATATGGTAGCATGAGTTGGCTAAAGGCATAAGCCACAGTGGGTGAAGGAAGGAAGGAAGGAAGGAAGGAAGGAAGGAAGGAAGGAAGGAAGGAAGGAAGGAAGGAAGGAAGGAAGGAAGGAAGGAAGGAAGGAAGGAAGGAAGGAAGGAAGGAAGGAAGGAAGGAAGGAAGGAAGGAAGGAAGGAAGGAAGGAAGGAAGGAAGGAAGGAAGGAAGGAAGGAAGAAGGAGAAGAAGAAAGAGGAGAAGGAGGAGGAGAAGAAGTTGAAGAAGAACTGCCTACATGAGGTATTCAAATATTATGTAAACAAATAGTAAGCAAACCTAAGAAGACAAGTACCTTGGTCTCAAAACTGCAGTACATGGACACAACAAAGGGATTGTCGGTGAACGACAGAATGTCTCGCTCCAGGAACACCTGCTCTATCTGATTCCTCAGCACCAAGTTCTGCTTGCAGATCTTCTTCATGGCAAATCTTTGCCGAGTCTCCTTGTGCCGAACCAAGTACACAGCACTGAAATGTCCACAGGTTGCCATTAATTATATTAAAGCACTGGTATATGAAAAACTCCTTTAAATCTGTCACTCCTGTGAATGGTTACAAGAAAAAAGAAAACAGCCACGAACTCATAGGAGTTTGCAGAGAAAATTCTTAAAAATAAAAACCAATCAGATTACACAGGTTAATAATAACAATTTAAAAAAATGAATTTATATAAAAAAATTTAGTTTGAAACACAAATAAATAAAGAGGTAATCAATAAACATGAACAGAATGTTTCAGGTGACCCATTCCTTGACCCCATGACCCCAATTCACTGAGGAAAATCAGATATCAAATTGGCTTTCAAAAAGTCACTAAGGACAACCCCCTCCCCCATTTGCTATTTTAGTTACTATTTTTATATCCTGGCCTATTAAACACAGTGCACATGCACAAGGGACCAGTGGAATTACCGACACTTTTTGAGAACAGGTCACTGCAGATATGGCAATAAACAAGCATGTACAGGGACATAGCACAACCAGAAGTGATAAGATATAGGTTCTTGGTGTGAAAGGGTTAAATCCTTCTTCTTCTGTTGTCAGTATCTGCTCTGGGCCTCTAGGCATCACAGTTTAATGGATGGATAAGTAGTCAAGTTAGGCAGCGCTCTGTTGTTTTCTTTCCTGTGAGGTCTCAAGTCGTCAGTGACTCTGTAAGTTGTTACTGACACTTTCAATCCATTCTTCTAAGTCTCCCTCTGCTTCTTGGTGCTTCCATTTTCATGTTGTACGCTCTCACTGTTGGCGTCATTGGGTTCAGTCTCCCTAGGTGGCTAAACCATTGCAGACATTTAAATCTTTAGCACTTAGAAAGTCACAGCAATTTAACATTAACATTCCACATGTGTGTTACATTTACAGGGGTAAAATATTCAAATATTATAAACATAATAAATTGCCTGATTTCTTAGAGAATTGTAACTAACAGTAAGAAGTACAAACTCACATGGATATTGTTTAGAGCAAAAATGTTTTTAAGTTTACTTATTTTTTCTTGCAAGGGTTATGACATAAGACTTTCTTAGCTATATATATATATATATAATTTTTAAAATATCGAGAAACCACGAGTTTGGCTCGGTACTATGGATATCGCAATCCTTCAGCCTTGATTCCATGATAGATACCGTAAATCTGTGAGAAATGTGGCTTTTCTGCCTACCCCCGGATGTGAACCCGGACCACAAGGAGTTCGTCACCCAGTCAGGTTTAGCCAACTACGCTAGTGAGCCGGGTGTGTATATATATATATATATATATATATATATATATATATATATATATATATATATATATATATATATATATATATATATATATATATATATATATATATATATATATATATATATATATATATATATATATATATATATATATACACACACAAGTGTATACAGAACTGGCACTTTTTTTTGGCATCATATTTTCAGCATTTCTGTACCAGGCACTTGTTAGGGAGTACCCATATTTTTCTACAGACACTTTTGATGAGTACCAAACTCTTTTCATAAAAAAAATGTAAACAAAAAGGCCTGTATATATGTATACTTACATACGTATGTGTGTGTGTGTGTGCGCACAGCTATTTTATTAACTCTTGTTGACCCACACATGTGATTGTGACGTAATCAATAAATTTTTAACCTGTAGCTTGCTTTCAATTGAGTAAATGGAGAATACATACGCATATGCTCCATTGCTAATCAGTTTGATTGTCTCGTAATCTTCCTCGCACGGCTGTTTGGGTTTGGTGAGGGTAGATCCGTCTTGTTCCTGGGACTCGAACTGAGGACACAAGTGTTCACCGATTAACTTGCTACTAACTAAATGTGCAGAAAGAGAAATAAAACAAGAAAAAAGGATAGAAAGAAGAACAAATAGAGACAGAATAAGAGAGAAGAGAAAAGGAGCGAACAAGAGAAAAGCAGCAACAGAGTAAAGGAGTAAAGGAAAGAAAATGAGAAAAAGAGAGAAAATATAAGAAAGAATGATAAAAGAAATGAGGGAAAAAAAGGAGAGAAAGAGAGAAAAGGAGACAATATGAAACAATAGGAGAAAGTTAGTGCAAAGAAAGAAAACCACGATCCCAGTCTGGGCCAAGAATTTCCTGAAATTCTCAAATATCTGACAAGATTCGCCTGCAAGGCCCGTCTGAGAGACGAGGCAGAGTGAAATGTCAAGTGTGAAATGTCAAGTGTGAAATGTCAAGTGTGAGATGTCAAGTGTGAAATGTCAAGTGTGAAATGTCAAGTGTGAATTGTCAAGTGTGAGATGCCAAGTGTGAAATGACAAGTGTGAATAGTCAAGTGTGAGATGTCAAGTGTGAGATGTCAAGTGTGAAATGTCAAGTATGAAATGTCAAGTATGAAATGTTAAGTGTGAAATGTCAAGTATGAAATGTCAAGTGTGAAATGTCAAGTGTGAACTGACCCCATGTGGGTTCTGGGGGAACCACATTTGAAGGATGGAACAAAGAACAGACATACTGCTTCCCCCCACAAGCTTATTGTAAGAGACAACTAGGGGTGTTTCCTTCAAAGTCCATCTGCCTGACAGGCGAGGAACCAACAGTCTGCATACAAATAAGCCAGATATATAAAATGATGTGCATGGAAAACTAAAGATCTAGAAGAAGACCACAAGTCCAGAAAGTGACAGACAACCAGAACTTTCCGCCAGAATCTGCAGCCAGTGAAAGCCAAGAAGAAGCTGCTTTGATTGTCTGCTTTGCCTAACCCTTTAGCTGATTCTGCAGTTATTCAGCAAAATTATGCACATCTAGTTAGTTACCTGCTATCTGAAAACATGCAATGAATACTATGATTTTTTTTTTTTTCCTAAACTGCCTTGTTCTGAGTTAGGGATAAGGAAATCATGGTAAGGAAAATATTATTCACTTCCTCTCATAATATTATTCACTTCCTCTCATAATATTATTCACTTCCTCTCATAATATTATTCACTTCCTCTCATAATATTATTCACTTCCTCTCATAATATTATTCACTTCCTCTCATAATATTATTCACTTCCTCTCATAATATTATTCACTTCCTCTCATAATATTATTCACTTCCTCTCATAATATTATTCACTTCCTCTCATAAAATTATTCACTTCCTCTCATAATATTATTCGCCTGGTCTGTTCATTTTATGATTTAAAACCTGGTGAGGAGTGGGTATAAATACCAACGGAAGTGCTGTACGACCTTTTCTGTTCGCATTCGACTAGACAGAAAATGCAGACAAGAAAGTCCATCCGCTATTGACCTAGAAGTGCAGGCTTTGATTTGAGAATTCTCTACAGGGGAATGCTGTCATTTACACAGATGGGTCTGCAATTCACCACGTGAGAAGCTCCTCAGCTTTTACGGCTCAGGTTGGAGTTGGAATTCTGGTTGCCTCGAGCCCAAGTAGTCTGTCTATGGAGGTCATGGTATGATCCTTTTCCCATGCATTCTTTTTTCAGTGACTCAATGAGTATGCTCAGGAATATAGAGATGGGCTGGGTCCGAAGACAGTGACTGGAGTCTCTAAAGCAGTTGACACATATGTTTCACATTTTTGCCAGGGCACACAGGTGTGAAAGGAAATGGGCAAGTAGATAAAGGACGGACGAGTCATGGACCAGGCCGATATTCTGAATGCTCTGCGAGAAGTAAGATGTTTACGAGAGCCAACTGATGACTGCCAATCTGCAACCATGACCAGACTGCAAGAACAACATGTTAAAAGGGGTGTTGCCAGATAAGAGCACTATGCAGAAAGCCAAAAAAGAATAAGATACCAACACAAAACTGGTGTAGTGGGCTGCTTCACGATTCAAGACTGACTAAGGAGATCCGAACACTTATGGACTGAATTGTTTCATGTGCAATGACTAACTAACTAACTAACAAACAAACAAACAAACTGACTAACAAACTAACAAACAAACTAAACTAACAAACTAACTAACTAACTACAAACTAACTAACTAACTAACTAACTTAAAATGCCTCCTTCCAAAAGCCGATATGGAATATTTTTAAAAAAATTCACATAAAACAGAAATAAGAGATTATTTAAAGGTGGGAAAACTGACCTCTGGGTCTCCATCATCTTCCTTGTCTCCTTCTGCTCCTGTCCCTTGATCCAGTGACGAGTCATAGCTGTCCACTGGAGTCATGTCTATAACACAAAACAAAAACACATGGAGTCATATCTACAGACCAGAACTGAAAACTATTAGACCACATCTACTGATTAAAACTGGAAATTCATTCTTGATGATTAAAAACAATATTTAAATAAATAAGCCATTATAACTTAGGAGGCTAACAACATCGGTACCTTTGTCAAGAAATAATTTTTTCCAGTGAAATTGTAATATACACTTTGTGGTGAGTATCAGCAGCTGTGTTTCTAGGAAAAAAGCTCTGACTACATGTAAAGATATATTCTACAATTAGGGTGATACATTTAAAAAGCCTTAAGCTAATGAAATTGTCAACACATGAAACAGATGGTTCTTAAAGAATGAAAAGGGGGGAGGGGGAATGTCATGGAAGTTCTCCAATACCTGACAAGGGGTCCCCAGCCAGGCCCAGCTTAGAGATGATGTACTGTGGAATGTCAGCTTTGATCGTCTGCTTCGCTTGACCTTCAGCAGCTTCCAGAAGCATGTAGAACTCTTCAGGGTCAAACTCCTGCAATGATGGAAAGTTAAATAGGAGGACTCAATGTTGTAGCACTGACAGGATTCTATTGACATAACACTTCATAATACACTCTTCCCCATTAGGTTCTAAGGCCTCAAAGTGGTAGACAGATCCACCACTTTCTAAAAGTTAGTTGCATATCCTTTACAAGAGGTTGCAGCAATGACCTCAGCATTCTTTTGGCTGTTGTGGTTCTTCTAGACAAATTTTATGCTCAGGAGTTTGTCCTGTGCTCAGGAGTTTGTCCTGTGCTCAGGAGTTTGTCCTGTGCTCAGGAGTTTGTCCTGTGCTCAGGAGTTTGTTCTGTGCTCAGGAGTGTGTCCTGTGCTCAGGAGTTTGTCCTGTGCTCAGGAGTTTGTCCTGCTTTCTGAATGACTGGCTCTCAGCATTGCTGTGAAAACCAACACAATAGGGTCTGCTGCCAAAGTGCCTGCAGCTAGGACTGAACTTGGCACCCCGGCATTATGAAGTGTGTCCGCAACGCCTTAGCCACAAATGCTGAAAAGTACATTGTAAAAGTAAATTAATTGGGAAGTTTTATCTGAAGTCGAAGCTTATCAGCCTGAGAAATGAGGAACCACGAGTCTGCATACAAATAAGACAGAGGCATAAAACAGATGTGCATGTAAAACTCATGTTCTGGAACAAGACTGAAGTCCAAAAGTGGATGAACAACCAGAAAACTTTTTGCTGGAGTTTACAACCAGTGAACATGAAGAAGAAGAAGAATACTTTATACTCCAAGGGCAGTATCTGCTATGGAACCACTCACTCACTCATTCTCACACATACACGCAGGCACGCATGCTTGCGTGCGCGCACACACAGTCTATTCTGACAATGTAAAGAATGAAAACAGGAACAAAAGTTTACAGTATGAATACAATTATTACGAGTAAGTTAAGAACAAGCTGAATTTCTATTTTATAAACATGATCTTGGCTCCCCAATTGACCCAACCATAAAATGGGTACCAGGTAACAGTCCTGGGAAGTAAAGGCGGCAGGGGTGATGCTAACTATATCACACATCAAGGGTCGATTGGTCTATGAAAATATGATACCAAAACAGCACTGGCATGTAAGGACACTGTTACTTTCAATTCAAGATTACAATAAAACAATGCAATAAAACAATTTCTCATTAGCATAGCTAATGTCAGTATATGCTCAGGGCCACTAGGCATCACAGTTTCATGGACGGACAAGTAGTCAAGCCAGGCAGTGCCCTCACCCATCAGATCCAAAATGCTAAATTATTTTGTTTATGCATGCGTATTAACATGTAAATTTATTGTCTAGGACTAAATTCCTGATGTTCAGATCAGGTAACATGTTGGGCAAAATTCTTGATTGGCCGGTCATCAAACATTTCATATTTTGGCTATTACCTTTTTCTACTTCAAATTCATACCAAAATGGTAAATTATGTATGGTCATCAAACATTTCATATTTTGGCTATTACCTTTTTCTACTTCAAATTCATACCAAAATGGTAAATTATGTATGGTCATCAAACATTTCATATTTTGGCTATTACCTTTTTCTACTTCAAATTCATACCAAAATGGTAAATTATGTATGGTCATCAAACATTTCATATTTTGGCTATTACCTTTTTCTACTTCAAATTCATACCAAAATGGTAAATTCTGTATGGTCATCAAACATTTCATATTTTGGCTATTACCTTTTTCTACTTCAAATTCATACCAAAATGGTAAATTATGTATGGTCATCATACATTTCATATTTTGGCTATTACCTTTTTCTACTTCAAATTCATACCAAAATGGTAAATGATGTACTTTTATGCACACATATTTGCTAACACAAGTGTAAACTCATTGGGACACAATCCACAGGAGAGTTTGAACCCAAACCTGTGTCATTCAGAGTGATAAGCAAATGACTGAACCCATTATCACAGAAAACCCTAAAATGTTAGGTTATTGATTTTCTTTACACGATGTTGCAGAATCGACCAAATCATCTATTGGCTGTTAGATTTTACTAAGTGCTTTTATGTTCAGTAGTTTGCCATTCCTTTCCAAATGGCTGTCTCTCAATATCATTCCTGAAAGCAATGCAAGGCAATCTGCTGCCAAATCGCTTGCGGCTGGAATCGAACCAGATACTTTGGAATTACAAGGCCTTAGCCATAGAGACTCCAAACAAAAAAATAATAAATAAGTGAATAAATTAAAAAAAGCAAAAAAACTAACCAAACACTCCAGAAGTCTGAGTGGCCTTGATACAATGAGCAACAGTTGTTTGACTAGTGGGTAAAGATTTTTGTATGCATCCAGTGACCGCTCTCGGGCCTGCAAATTAAAAACACAACATTTATTGTAAGCAAACAAACTGGAATATGTGATCTTAAATACATATCAATCTTGTTAGCATCTAGCCATCACTCTCAAGCCTGCAGTAAAAATACAACCACTGTAAACATTCAAACAGTAAAATGGGTGACATTAAATAGAAGGGGAGAAAAGAATAATTCTATAGTTCAATATTTTGTTCAGACTTTTAAAAGCTGATAATGCCTCGCCAATGCATGCTGTAATTTCTTTCTTTGTTATTTCTTGACTCAGACCAAGAAGATGATGGAGAGATAACGTCCAGACAGACCTGCAAACATTTGGTGTCACCAAGTGGAAAGAGAAGGCCAACCAGAGAGATGAGTGGAGGTGGGTGATATCTGCAGCAATAAACCTCAAGGGCTTGGAACGCTGAAGAAGAAGAAGAAGATAACTTATTTGTACCCAACTTTTAATGCTATATTTGTTAAATCATCTGTTTATTCCTTGCATGTCATTGCTGTTCTTAGCAGAACAAAATTATCTGCGAAACTGAGATCCTTAAACTGTGCCTCCTCCACCTAGTCAATGCTGGAAAAAGATGGAAAAATAATCATATTCTAGAAGGACAAGACACACACAGAAAACCAGGAAACTAGGCTACAACCTGGTCACAGCAATACAACAGAGCAATGTTGAATGGTGACAGAATTGACATCACAGCACTCGGGACACTCCCATAAGTGCTCCATCCACATCTTCAGCAACAAGCGAAGAGTTCCAATTCCGACGGCACCAGTAACTGCCTGATTGAATATCCATCTCATCCTTTCCCCGAGTGTTCAACGTCGGCCAGATCCTTTGGTAACTCCTCGCAGCGCCATTCTCCTCAGACCGTAATGATCTATCTGCGCCTCCGCACTGTTCACTTGTTTCCAAAGGGCTCTCACAATATCTAGCTTGTCATACATCAATTCACCACTTAGTGGTGCAGAGCCAGCCAGTCTATCTGCTTGCTTATTTCCCAACACACCGGCGAGACCTGGAGAAAACATTAAAAAAAAATGCTAACTATCCAAGACCTCTGAAGTGATGCTTGCCACTCTGCATGAAGCACGCCTGTCTTCACTTTTCTTAACATACTCTTTGAGTCAGTTACAATCAGGGCATGTGTACATCTGCACAAGAAAAGAAGAAATACACCAACTGAGGTTACAGAATGCAGAACATACATCTTGCAGCAACTTCTCCAGGTTGTCCAGCAGCTCATAGAAATAGCCCTTGGAAGTCACCTTCTCCGCAGATTTGTTCAGACAGTCCCTGGCCAGCTCAAGTACCTATACAAAAAAGAAACAAATATTACACATGAACTGACTTCAATCAATTGTTGTTTCAGAAAAACACTTTTGTCATTAAAGATGCTAGACCAGTGGCTCTCAAACTTTCTAATGTCGGGATCCATTAATACGGTTCCCTAATGTTGTGGCGACCCACAAATAATTATTTTCCTTTTTAACTTTAATAAATATGTGTTTTCCTATGGTATTAGGCGACCCTTGTGAAAGGGTCATTCGACCCAAAAAAAGGGATCGTGACTCGCAGGATGAGAACTGCTTTCCTAGACAATCCACCAATCAGTTTTAGCTAAACAGTATCTATTATGCATCATTCATGAATGAACACCATCACTTACCAATCTAACCTTTTCTTCTTAAGCAACATCACTAACTATTTCTTCCTAAACATCACCACTAATGATTTCTTCCCAAAAACCATCACTAACCATTTCTGCCTAAGGAATTTCACTAACCATTTTCTCATAAACAACATTACTTACCATTTCTTCCTAAACACCATTACTAATTGTTTCTTCCTAAACACCATTACTAATCGTTTCTTCCTAAACACCATTACTAATCATTTCTTCCTAAACACCATTTCTAATCATTTCTTCCTAAACACCATTACTAACCATTTCTTTTTAAGCATCATCATTAACAATTTCTTTCTAAACACAATTACTAATCATTTCTTCCCAAGCATCATTAACTATTTCTTCCTAAGCATCATCACTAACTATTTCTTCCCTAGCATCATCACTAACCATTTCTTCCCAAGCATCATCACTAATTATTTCTTTCCAAGCATCATCACTAATTATTTCTTCCCAAGCATCATCACTAGCCATTTCTTCCCAAGCATCATCACTAATTATTTCTTCCCAAGCATCATCACTAGCCATTTCTTCCAAAGCATCATCACTAACCATTTCTTCCCAAACATTTCACTAACCATTTCTTCCCAAGCATCATTATTTCTTCCCAAGCATCATCACTATTTCTTCCCAAACATCTCACTAACCATTTCTTCCCAAACATCTCACTAACCATTTCTTCCCAAACATCTCACTAACCATTTCTTCCCAAACATCTCACTAACCATTTCTTCCCAAGCATCATAACTAACCATTTCTTCCCAAACATCTCACTAACCATTTCTTCCTAAGCATCATAACTAACCATTTCTTCCCAAACATCTCACTAACCATTTCTTCCTAAGCATCATAACTAACCATTTCTTCCTAAGCATCATAACTAACCATTTCTTCCTAAGCATCATAACTAACCATTTCTTTCCAAGCAACATCACTAATTATTTCTTCCCAAACATCCCTAACAATTTCTTCCTATGCATCATCACT